CTTAAAAGAAGCAAGAAAAATTGGTCTAACATTGGCTTTAGACCCCAATAGTATCAGAAATCGCTGCTTTTACGAGTGCATGGGGAAATTCTTCGACATGAGCTGCGACGATATAATTGATATGGTTGAAGACTTTATGCTTTCCAACCAAGTGCTGGACACTGTCAATGAGGTGAAGTAGCCATCATGTTTTCTGTATATTTGTTTCTTAGTAGTGTGCCAACGTTATTCATATGTACTATTGCTGTTTAATAGCTGTGACATCGTTGTCCATGAGATGGTGGGGGTAGTTACATATTAATAGGGTCCTGAGGGGGTAAAATGGGAATGGGATTGGCCTAATTTTGAGCTTTGAAAATGATGTGAAAAAGTGAAAAATCACATGATATAGAATGGGATTTTTAAAATAAACATAGATTGGGAATAGGAATTTGAAGACTGGGAGTGGGATTTTGAAGAAAAACAGACTGGGAACTGGGATTAGACCCCCCTTCCTTTCAGGTCAAAACAATCCTCGACTTTTTTCACGCTCAGTGGGTTTATTTCAAAAATAAAATAGATTTATAGCGCTTTTGCTCATCAGAAGGACAGAAAATATACCACTAAAATCCTCTGATTTCAAATTTGTCATGACCTCGAACGATCACCTCGTAACCAGGATTACTGAAATTTGAAATCAGAGGTTATTAGTGATATATTTTCTTGACTGTCCTTCTAATGAGCAAAAATCACGGCTCGCGCTATAAATATATTCACACCTCGCGGTTTTTGTTTCTCATTTTCACATTAAACAGACAAAAAAAAAAMAAATTGAATGAAAAAATAATTAAAAATGTTGTTATCATCTAAAACATATTTGAAAAAATAAGTCGTGAGTCGTGAAAAAGCCAAATGTTCAGCCGTGAATCGTAATGCGACGGAAACACGATGGCGAGATGAAGTCTTCACAGCATGATCATGTAAGAGGTCGAACTACCAAGCCTACACCGGGAGCCTACACTACCTGGAACATGCGACTATTCGGTTACAATGTCCAGATGTCGTTTTTTGCTCACTCAGAATTATCCATTTCAAACACAAGATTCATTTCTCATATTATGTAGCTAGAACTGTCTATAAGAGACAGAAAAAATGAGTTTGTTAATTGTTTTCCGTGGTCATTTGAACAGCGAAATTTTTCAGCTCGCGTTAGAATAATCTCCGCACGCTCAGTGGGGTGTTGTTATGGATTACATAATCATGTGTTTTAATATAGTACTTTATTTCCCGGGAAACAAGGACCGATCCAATTCCGATCAGTTTCGGTGGGTTTTCAAAGGAAAATCGGCAAAAAGTCCACACAAAATCGTACGCTATGACGTCCTGTGATTTAAGAAACAATTGAAATACAATCTAAAGAAAAAAATGTATTGTAGCATAACCGGAGTTTCTTCTCACAGACATTATTCTAAAAAGATTAGATAAAAAAAAAACGATAAAAATGCGTGTTTTATATTAGTCTTCAAGAAACAAGCAATGTATGGGCAATTATTAAGAAATTTTGTTGTTCTATGGTTACCATGGAAACTAGTCACGCCTCCAGAAAAGGGTGGCTCGTCCCCAACCCGCTTCGAGAGTGCCTGATACCCATTACATATACGTTTTACTTATACTAGCCAAATAAACCAATTTTTTTCTCATTTTTATTATTATTACTTTTATCATTAGGATGGTACTGTGGAGAAAAAGGACATGTTTTCCTATTTATCCAATGCAGACTTTCCCTCTCTGGGTGAACGCCCAAAGACATGGAAGGAGGCGGTAWACGCATTGAGGAACGAAATGRCAACGCATGCYGTCATCAAGTCAACCGCAACACTATTTTCTGTAAATGTCAATATCGTCGATTGGAGAGGTGTAAGTGAAGTTGGGATATTCCMAATTTAGAAATGGGATTCTRAAATATACATTTATTAACGCTATTCTATTTGTACACACGTAGAGGCTCGTTGTGGAAAAKCCATGTAATGGGAAAAAAGAAAGTGACATTTACTTATCGTTCACTGGAAATCACTACATGCTTCTGTCCAAAACACCGTCATTTGCAAGCATTTTGCAATCCAAAGGTAAAACGTTTTTCAGTTGTACATATGTTTGAAATATGGGATATGTGAATCGTGTAAATATGTATTCTTTTATACGTATACAAGGTGCAGAAAATGACAAGACAACATTTGAATACAATGGACCGGAAAATTCCAAACCGGATGAAAGTATCTCAAAAGGACAGCCAGGGCAGGTGGGTGAATATCAATGCGAACTTGACGATTGCTATCACAAAAGTATCATTGAACACCACGTTCTGATGTTGACAAATAAATAGAATGAATACTCCGAGGGTGGGACGGGTTGTTGGTCTGAGGTTCGGGGAACAAGGTCCGTTACCGCTAACTGACAACACTTTAAAATATGCCACAGACAGCATCAAAACTCGACAAGGAAAAGGTGTCCCAGGTTCAAGACAAAGGGCAGGATTCAGACAGTGATGTTATCATAATATCTACACCTCCAAAGGTAGTTAAAAACAAATGTAATTGTAAATAGACAGTGTGTAGTAGATATACCAGGGGGTGGAAGGGTTTTCGCTTTGCCCGGGAATGAGCTAACTARCAAGCGGGTAAATATATAAAGAAGTYGGCTTAGGTATGGAAGTGGGAAAGCACGCAAAAGTCACTGGGCGCCTTCCACACCTGATTCAAAGACTTTGAACAATCAACATTTAATTGCAAATGGTTTGTTTTCTTAAAAGCGAACACCAAGAGGAAGAAAAAATTTAATGGAATGGTGGGAGGATGAAGAGACAGATTGTATGCCTGGCATCAGTCTTTTTAAAGGCATGGAACTTAAACCTTCGTCAGAAAAAGAAAATAGCCAAGCCCAAGAAAGTGAGATTGATTTGACTTATGATTCTGAAGAAGAAGTTAATTCTTCAATGGAAAGTCTACCAAGCCAAAAGGTATGTTTTGTGTATCCATCAAGATTCCTTTACACGTCAGCTAGTATAAGTAGTTGATAGCAAAACCGTGTCGTTTGCACGTCATGGGGTATTTTAAGGGACCATTCAWTTTTTATCAGGGAGGGGGAGTCGGTGGAATTTGAGAAGGGGTCAGGAAAAAATACAGGGTCTGTGAGGGTGGGTGGGGGCAAGAAAATTTTTTGGGATTGGCAGTCAAGAAGGGGGGGTCAGAAAAAGATTCATTAATAACATCACAAATGATTGTCATTTGGTATGTAGTTTTGAAAAAAAAATGCAGTTTTTGAAGTATAATCGATTAATGGATGCMGTATTGTTGAACATCAGTCAACAACAACAAAACAACTCTTGCGCTACATTACTCGTCGCATTACTTATTAAGTATCCCAAAGGTACTATTAGGGACCTGACATTATTTATCGCCTGGGGGTGTGAGGATTTTTTGGGGGATCAGTCGATTTCGGATAACACAAAAGGGGGATCACTCGTAAAATAACAGCTTCAAAGGGGGGATCACTTAAGGGTTATCTTCATACCCCGTTCTAAAATCAAATTATTTTAATAATTTTTTTAACAAGTAGTTTTGCAAAAATTTGAGCGTACCTTCGGCGCGTAGTTTAGAATAATACAAACGTACAAGCCAATTTAATCTTTGATTGATGTTTGTGTACAGGCCTATAACTCATTTAAGCCCGCTGTTATTAATCTTACTTCGCCGTCTCCCAAGAAAGATATAAAACGGTAATATATTTTCTAATAAACTATTCATCTTACCACGAACAAGCGTAAAAAAATTATCATTTTTGCATAATGTCCTTATTATCAGTATAATCAAACCTCTATTATGCGGTCACCCTCAATTCAACGGTCACTTACGTAAGTCGCGTTCAGGCATGTTTATTGTAAACCTGACCGTGGGTAACCGCTTGATCGAGGTTCAACTGTATTTTATTTGGCATCACTACGTCCAGGCGAGGTTATGCGATCATGCGGTGNAAAAAGGTATGTGATTCTTAATCATTGTAGCTCGGATTGTGTTACTACACAACTATATATTTTTGTTTAGTGTTTGTCTTTGTAGCAGAATGTATGAGTTCATATTGTTGAATATGGTGTACTTTCTTAAAATTTTACAGGCCTATAGAAAACTACAAAGGCAATCATATTACGCCCTACTTTTGGAAAGGGAAAAGGCAATGGACATTTGAAGAGATATTGATTACAACAAGCCTGAATGTCCATCAAAAACGAGTCTGTTCTGGTGTGCCGTACAGAGTGATGGAGGATGCCAGTTTCATAATCGACACAGATAAATTAAAAAACAGGAAAGATTACCTGTGTGACGGTATTGGAAATTTTCGCAACTCTGGGCACAATGGTAGAATTTTTACCGTTAGAAATAACAAAGTAGATTCTGCAAAGGCTATGCCTCGCATCGAAAAGGACAGAACCAAATTAGCTGCAAACCAGTATCTTGTAAAAGCGATCTACCTTAACCATCAAAAACACCGCGATTTCAAAAAACGTATTTACGAAATAACTTCCGGGGCGACAGGTGATCAAACTCCGCTCGTTTTTATACAGTATATTTTTGAGAAAGACTCGCATCCCGTAACAMCATCSAAAAATCTTAAAACATCACAAAGCTTGAAAGACAAAATCCGGGAACGCGTGAAAACAGCCAAAACYCCATCCACTATTTTCGATGACGTATWCAAAGASGCTGGGGGATTAAACTTTGAAAACATTTCCGACATTCCCAGAAACATCGACCAAATAAAAAACGAAAGAAGGAAGATCCGAAAGAAGGGTGAGTTCGACGAATTTGCCACTCTTCTTAAGTTGTCTAATGATTCTGATTAYGTAAAAAATCTCCAGTGGACCCMACACCCAAGAACTGTGGTGTTGACAGACGCAGTTGTTCAAGATGTAGTTGACAACTGTRCGCAGGGTGGAAATTCCCAACCCTTTACTATAGACACCACCTTCAACATAGGGCCATTTTATGTCACAACATCCACATACAAACACCTCAAGCTCATTGACAGACGATCAGGAAAACATCCAAGTTTACCAGGCCCTGCTTTATTCCACACCAGACAAGACACTGGACAATTCACATACTTTGCGCAAACTCTGGCAGAGAACAATAGCGATATCACAAAGATACTAGCCCTTGGTTCTGATCTTTGTACAACTTACTGTCAAGGATTTGCTCCTGTTTGTCCATTAGCTCGAGTAGTAGTATGCAAGAAGCATGCAGAAGATGCCGTTAAGCGCAAGTTAGACGAGCTAGGTGTTACTGGCTATGAACGCGAGCAATGTCTCAAAGATGTTTTCGGCAACGAGCGAGAGAAAGTTCTTGGGCTGATAGACAGCGAGTCCCCTGAAGACTTCGACGATAAGCTTATCATTCTCTTAGATAGATGGAACAAAAAGGTTCCACAATTTGCGAGCTACTTCAAAGTGTCACTGGCCAAAGAAATTAAACGGAAAATGATACTAAGTGTCAGAAGAGAAGTTGGGCTGGGGGACGAATTCTTTTATGACAATGCCACAGAAAGCATTAATCACCGATACAAGGTAATTATAGTATTTAAAAGCTGAAACCCATTGGAAATGCATCTCTTTTCCTACAGGATCATGAACAAAATTGTGACTATTAGTCAATTACAATGTTTTTGTATTTCACGGTTTAAGTACCATCGCCCTATGCTTGAATAACACTAAAGAAACAAAATTTCTGTCAAAAACAAAAGAAAAGAGCGCAAATTACATAAATTACCCATGATGCACCTGATATAATGATATATGTTGGCAGCAAGGATTGTTGCAAGTGACTGTATTTGAATTCAAATTAAAGTAAATTCGAAAATGATGCTGAACTAATTTTTATTATTTCTTACTCAGGTTCGCATCAGAGAAAGCAAGGCCAGTTTTGACCCTTCTGGTACCAAACACCTTAATTGC